TGAACAATATCCCCGAGCCAAACCAATCACTGTTTTTTGTAATGCCTTCTCCGGTCCACTTTCTGGCATGCAGATATATATAAACAGATGCCTCTATCAGATGTCTGTGTCTTTACTGTAAGGATACCATATACACAATTTCTTGTTAACAGATCTTTGTCATTGTTCCACCAATTTGTTGTCGTCCATAATAAAGCTATACTTCAGAAACGTTTATTCCAGGTGCCTATCACTGAATTGTCCGTACTGAAAAAAGTTAAGATGATTTTTAGGTGAATACTGATATACACTTTTTTTCAAATTTACAATGGGAGATAACATATTATGGGAGTATTTTACTCTGCTGTTTTTCTGAGAAATCTCAATTTTGCAAATAGATCTTTCCCCAAATGGCACAATTATGAAAATATACAGTCTGAAATTTTAAAAAGTCTAATAAAGTAATCCATTCAGACATTATTTCTGAGCAGCGAATCTGTTGCTCCTGTGGAGTGGGTCACACATGCCCTAGGACTGCCATCCCTTTCATCACAAATCCCCCATTTAGTGGAAGATAGATAGTTTTGAAATTTTCACTTCAGCACGCTCACAACTGCAACGATGGAAAAGCCATGTTGCCCAATGAGTTGCAGTGGGGGAGGTTTGTGTTTGTCTCTCGGTCTTGTCATCGGACGGAAATTTAGAAGATGCCTCCTGCAGAAAATATTTGTTCTGACAGTCCGTCCAGATGACATTAGCAGATCCTTCCAAATTTCAGTTGAAGACAAACATGTCCTAAAAACTTTCACCACTCTCACCATGGTGGCACGGTGGGTCCTGACGCAGGGAATGTCCCTCTGTCCCATTACACCCGGCAAGGTGCGTGACCTCAGACCTACGGCCTGAGATCTCTTCCAGATCTGGATATTGGGGTGCCTCTGCACGTTTTACACATGCAAAAAAAACCAAGTGAGACTCCTGGGTGTCCGCACACCAGGCTCTGGACCCCGCACACAGGGTGTGCTGTGCCCTTTCTGCTTTCCACACTTGCGAGCCCCTCAGCGCTGGCCGGGCACTGAAGGGGTGCCCGGGCTGGGCAGCACCAGGGTGGGCAGGGGGAGCGGATCTCACCGCCTCCCCACATCCCTGCCCTGCAGGGGCCCCGGGGATGGGGCAGAGAGGAAAAGAGAGAGGGGGGCAGGAAAAGAGGAAGGGGAAGCGGAAGGAGAAGGTGAAGAGGAAAGGGGAAGGGGAAAGGAAACGAGGAAGGGGAAAGGAAAGGAGAAGGAAAGGGGAAAGGGGAAAGGGGAAGGGGAAGAGGAAAGGAAAAGGGGGAAGGGAAGGAGAAGGACAGGGGAAGGGCCATGCGGCCCAAGGAGCTGGCTCAGGAGAAGCGAAGCGAGGGAAGCGCTGGCGGTGCCGGTGCCCGTGCGGTCGGGACGGGCCCGCA